CCCTAAAATGCACCAAATTGCACCTCGATTTAAAAAATTTTCCGGGGGGGCATGCCCCCGGACCCCCCTAGTATTGCTGGGATTGCGGACTGCCTACCACCTCGCAGAGCTTGAAAGCCAGGGGAAACACTGAATAACATTTGAACACATTTGCATTTTGAAAAAAAAATGTGATCATACAAATCCTTGGTTTAATGTACAATTAGTAATGAGATATAAATTGCTGTTTAGACCCCCCAGGAAGCTGTGATAGAAGAAGAAGACATGTCCTTGGTCGATGACGTCTTCTTTGACATCAAGAGTCCCACATTCTCCATGTCTGCCCCAGATTTTATGAAGAAGACAGAACTGGAGACTGTCCCTGAAGCCAGAGATGAGGTGGACGTAGGAAGGTCCACTCCTAAAATTGTGTAAGAGGAAGTTAAAACCTTTCTTGTTTATTGTTGTTTGACAATTGGTACATGCAGTGATATGTAGATATGTATAAATGTTGAACTATTATTTGCAAATGTATTTATTCTGCATTGGCATCTCTCAGACTTTTTCTTTGCAAATATAAGAGGTATGAGAGATGGGGTATCAGATATGCCATATTGTGGTTAAACAGTGTATAACTATATACAACTAATATATGCACATACATGTTTCAAAATTCATGCCAGCTGTCAAAAAAAAAAAAGAAAAAAAAAACCTTATCATTAGTAAACAGTAAAAAAGTAATTAAAACAAGTTGTATTTCATTGTCACTGAACTATAAATTAACTTAAAGAACAACATTTTTCCATTCTTATTTTGACACACCGCATATTTTTCTTGAACTAGAAAAACACTGATGAAATATTTTTAAAATAATTGCAGTCCAGGTCAGTGGCATGCTGGTCATCATCCCCGCCAGGGTCTACCCTCCACCCCAGGGACAGCAGCGGTTGCTGTCCACCCCCTCAGTGGCGTTGGCATGCGGAGGATTGTGGGTGGGGTTATGGAGAGAGCCTTGGATAACTCTGATCGCAGGCGTGTGGGAATGGGGATCATTGGACGCATTTTCAAGCGTAGCTTCAAGAGAGGTGGAGTGGATGAAGACGTCAGGGAACAAATAGATAAAATGCATGATCATAGGTAATTTTAGTTTATGTATTTTATAAGTGGGAATTTTTTTATGATTTTATTTATTACAAAAACTTAAATAGTGATTGATGTTTATAAAAAATTCCTTTAATTAGTCCACTGCTTTTTTTTATTTAGATGTACAATACACACATCTTATATTTGTGCATATAACATGAAATAAAGTTA